TCTATAAACTTGTTGTTCAAATGCTCCATATCAACCCATTCATTTTGGACTCGCTTGGGAGCGCCCTCTAGCGTTTGAGAAAACGGAAGACATTGCAAAGTGGGAATTCTCCTCACTACAAGTTCTCTGACTCAACTGCTTAGCTTCATGCAGTATGTTGTGATAGAGAGAGAACTCCGGTTTCCGGTTTGAGTGTACGCTGTGCGTGTTTGGCTGCCGCTACTCACCGGAGTTTTTGTTTTTTCCTGTGTTTCGCCTTTTCTTTCCCTTTGCGGGAGTTTTGGTACAGATACTTTCCACTATCGATGGACTTGTCTCTCTATTTTCTACTCGCAAGTAGAATCTTGCTTTGTGACAATGCCTATGACACACCTGCTTCTCACCTGTGCCAGCCCTCTTCCTCTTCTCCTGCACTGTGACTGCATCTGTGGTGAGTGTGTCTCTACCCCCTTGCTTCGTTGCTGTTGCCAATTTGTTCTGTGGTAAGTCGCAGCATTTCTGCTCGTGCTTCTCACAGTCTTAGCTGGGTGGTGTAGTGGGTTTTGGTTGGTCTAAGCTCTGGCATTTTCACTATCTCCTCTGTCATGTCCACGGCCGGTGTCCAGAGTTTTTGTTTTTGGCCTAGAGTCGTGCTGTGCATTTTTAGCAATGTTTAAATATTCACGATCCATAACCAATAAAGCCTCGTTAATCAATGACCTCATCACCCAGAAAAAAGTGGATATGTTTTGTCTTTCGGAAACTTGGCAACAACCTGGTGACTACCTACATTTAAACATGCTGACAACAGTTGACTATCAAAACCCCGACTGAAAGGGAGAGGAGGTGGTCTGGCTGTGGTTTATCATTCTGGTTTAGCAGTCAAAGAACTTTCACTGTTCAATACTACATCATATTGCTTTGAAGGTTGTTTCCTCCTCACCTCTACTGTTGCTGTTAGTCTGTCGCCCTCCCAAACCTGCTGCAAGCTTCTTGTCTGAACTTAATGAACTCCTCACAATCATCTCATCTCTTTGCTCTGCCATAATCGTGCTTGGTGACTTCAATATCCATGTTGATACTGAATGCTCTTTCACATCTGAGGTCATTTCAGTTTTAGAGTGTTTTAACTTGATGCAGCATGTTGATTTTCCAACTCACACTCATGGTCATACTCTTGATTTACTCTGTTCTACTGGTTTGAATGATATCTCTGTCTCTGGTTCAGTCTCTGGTATCTCTGACCATAAGCTCTATAGTTTCTTTCTTTCTACTTCTCAGTCATTCACCCTTACTGATTTTCCTGCTTTGGACACAAAGCTAACTTGTTTCACGCCTGTTGACTCCTTTTCTGTCTCCTTTACTGTCTCTCATCACTAAGTCTAATGCTTCCTCCTGTCAGCTTGACCCTTCCCCCCACCCCTCTACTCAAGGCCTGGTCATCTGTAATCAACACTCCAATTGCTACAGTGATAAATTCATGTCTCTCTTCTGGTTTGGCTCCTACTGCCCTTAAAACTGCTGCAGTTACTCCTATACTTAAGAAACCTGAATTGGACCCGACTTCTCTTTCTAATTACAGACCCATCTCACACCTTCCATTTTTAGCTAAAGTAATGGAAAGAGTGGTTGCTTCCCAACTCCAGACATTTCTCAGTGATAATGCCCTCCATGAGCCATTTCGGTCTGGCTTCTGTACTCACCACAGCACTGAGACAGCTCTTCTGCGAGTAGTTAATGATCTTCTCCGGTCTGCTGATAGTGGTTCTCTCAGTATTCTCCTTCTCCTCGACTGTTAATACTGTTAATCATGATGTTCTCATTTCTCACCTTTTCTCTATTGGTATCACTGATCCAGCCATACAGTGGCTCAGGTTGTATCTTACAGACAGAGAGCAGTTTATCACACTAGGTCCACACAAGTCCTCCACCTCTCCTGTCACATGTGGTGTCCCTCAGGGCTCAGTTCTTGGACCCCTACTTTTCTTAATCTACATCTTACCCCTTGGCCAGATCATTCGTAGCCATGGCCTTAACTTTCACTGTTATGCTGATGATATTCAATTATATCTCGGTACACACACACCCTCAGATTCCCCTCCCAATACACTAATCGATTGTATTTCTGATTTAAAGCTCTGGATGCACAATAACTTATCTCATGCTCAACACTGATAAAAATGAAGTCTTACTGTTTGGCCCTGTTGTTAGAAATCTTGCATTCTTTCTTTTACGTAACATTGCTCGTCTTCGCCCGTTCCTGACCGATAATGATGCAAAAACTTTGGTTCATGCCTTCGTTATGTCCCGTATTGACTACTGTAACTCCCTCTTTGTTGGTCTCCCTGTAAAGTCTATACAAAAGCTACAGTCTCATCTGGGCTTTGGCCGAAACCGGGAGAATGTTACCTGCTGAAAAGCATAGTGGCAACAGTAAAGTTTGGTGGAGGAGGGTTAATCCTCTGGGGCTGTCTGGCAGGGTTTGGATCTCTTAGTTCCAGTGAAAGGTGATGTTAATGCCAACATACAAAGACATTTTAGTCAATAATATACTTCGTGGCAGCAGTTTGGGGAAGACCCTTCCTGTTCCAGCATGACTGTGCTCCAGTGCACAAATGAGCTCCCTAAAGACATGGTTTGACGAGTTCTACGTGGAGGGACTCTAGTGGCCTCCACAGAGCCCTGACCCCAGCCCTGCTGTACACCTTTGAGACGAATTAGAATGTTAATTGTGAGTCAGGTCCTCTCCTCCAATGTCAGTGCCTGACCTCACAAATTCACTCAGACACACTCCAAAATCTTATAGAAAGCCTTGTCAGAAGAGTGGAGGCTGTTGTAGTCGCAAAGTGGGGGCAGACTCTACATTAATGCCTAAGGTTTTGGAATGGGATATCCAATAAGCTCATATAGGTGTGATGGTCAGCTGTCTACATACTTTTGGCCATATACTGTATAAAATGTGTTAGCAAGTTATTCTGTTAGTAAGTTATCGATTGTTTGTTGACTAATGAGTTAAATGTTAATTATTTATAATCTTTCAGTTACAGTAGTACTGTTCTTATGTGACATCCTAATCAAGGAATATGCACAGTTTCTATGTCTAAACAACTGAAATTGCAAGGATAATCTGTAGCGTCCATATGCCTGCGTGACTATTGTGCACGTGAAGGGAAGTTGGAATTCATTGCAACACCAGCAAAAACATCAGGAGAAAGATCCATGTCGGCTTACAAAGTAGAGTAATATCACAAAACTTTATTACAGGAGGTTACAAACTTTCAAAGCTCATTTGGCGTGAGACTGACAAGGCTGACCAAACTTTTTTGAGGAATTTATTTCTTTGCCTGCTAGTCTGAAACATGACTGAGGTTTGATGACTGTTGGCATCTGGAAAAACCGCAAAACTCCATGAAACATGGATGCCGTAACATGTTGCACAATTCTTGTGTGAAGTTTCATGCCTGCTTCTCCAAAGTTACATGGCGCTATAGCAGGTATTCCAGGCCCAGAGTGGCAATGACAGAAACACAGTTCTCCCTATTATAAGTCAGTATACTCAAAATCAAAATGACTTTGAAGCTGTTAAGATAAAGCTTGTTACATAATGTTGCTTTGAGGTCAGCAGTTCTCACTGCCCACCTGCTCGGATATGTCCTCATCATCCTTAAGTAGCTTTTTCATTCTTGTCTTCTTGGTCCCACATTCAGGGGCAGTGATTGCACTAGGCAGCCGCCTAGGACCTCCAGTCAGTATGCCACAAAATAATGCTAGCTAGGTAAGTTTCTCACGTGTGTGTGTGAGAGTGTGTGTGTGTGTGTGTGTGTGTGTGTATTTGTATGTAAAGCTTGTATGTCCATTTTTTGTTGTTTTTCAGTATTTGACGTAATTTGAGAATTTGAATTTCTATTCCACCTTAAATAGTGCAGCAATTACATGATAGCAACCATACAGGTGCCAGAATGTAACTGCCACATCATTTAAGGTGGAACAGGAAATGAGAATAGGAAGCTAACTTAAGCGATGTCTAATCTCTGTCCATTGACTCAGTTACAGTCAGCAAACTGGGGTGCGTATCAGTTGATGTGGGGGCCACTGGTTAAACTCCTAAATTACTACAGATATACACTTGGATGTTAAGTTTGTAGTTTGTCTAAGCATTCTTGTGCCTATATGTGTAAGTTACTTTAGTTCATAAAGAAGAGGGCTAAAATGCTATCGGGAATTCTTCTGATGTTCCCAATGACCCACTCCGGCATTGCTGTCAGCATGTATTACTCTAAAATATAAACCATAAGCTTAGGCTAAAAACTCAGTAAAACAGGTTCACACAACCAGCGAAAAATACAGGAAAGAAGTCCCAGGAACGTTGAGCAGCTGGAATCCTACATCAGACAAGAATGGGACAACATTCCTCGCCCAAAACTCCAGCAATTGGTCTCCTCAATTCCCAGACGTTTAAAGAGGAGGGGATGCTACACAATGGTAGACATGGCCCTGTGCCAACTTTTTTGAGATGTGTTGCTGCCATCAAGTTCTAAATGAATTAAAGTTTTTCATGAAATGGTAAAATGTCTTTCAACATCTGATATGTGTTCTATGTTCTATTGTGAATGAAATATGGGTCTATGAGATTTGCAAATCATTATGTTCTGTTTTTATTTACATTTATATTTTACACAGCGTCCCAACTTTTTTGGAATTGGGGTTGTAGATATAATATTGTCTTTGGATTATTTCCTGCCTAAAGCTTCTAATGACATAGTGAAATGTGTGGAAATTTGCACAACAGAATAATCACAGGACTGTTCATGATTTTTTTATGACATATCAAGTCAAAGAATTGTGAATATTTAGCTGTACAGAATAATTTACAAGATCCATAAAGGAACATGTAAAACGACAAGAGCATCTGAGTACTAAAATATAATTTAAATCAGTTAAATATACTTTAAATAAAATATAATGCTAAATTTAGATGCTGACATGGTTCTTGTGCACCACTAACATATAATCCTCAATGATTAGCAGGGCAAGAAGTAGTTGTTATTAAGCACACGTAGGAGTGTTCCGTAGGAGAATTCAAACATGCGTGGTCCACTGAAGAGGTACGTGAAATCTGGAAAAGGATGTCAGAATCATCACACAAGCTGGTTTATTTTTGTCCGATTTGACTGGTCAGATTATTTGTACTATTCATTAAATACTGACCCCTGTACTGGAAAGCTGCAGTAACCTTTCCGGTCATTCCTGGGAAGCCGTCTTCCACCTGTTTAGGGTAACCTTTGTCCATCTTCTTTGTGGTCTCATCATAGCTATAGAAGGTTTTAATTAGTTTAATAACAGTCTATCAAAAAGCTCTTGTATTACCTAATATTCTGGTGTTACCTACCTGTAGTAATGGTCATTAACAAAAAACAGAGTCTTTCCAGTCTCCTGGTCATAAAGGGCAGCACTAATCTTCTTCACTTTAGGGGGCAGGCCCATGCTGCTGAGGGTCTTAGGAAACCCCTTTGCAATATCATAACCGTAGAGGGCCCAGACCTTCTGACCTGAGGGTCAAGGCCAGGCATCCACATTAATTCTTATATAGTGAGACTTTGACTGTAACATACTAAATATCCCAGAAAAATACTGACCAATCAAAATCCAGTTTAGTCAATAAACCATAGCTATATAAATGACAAAAGATCATCAACGGACAAAAACCTCAACGCTTATCTATGCTGTCTCATGTTCTGCTTTCCATTGTTCATTCTTACCTTTAAAGAGATACACCAAGTCATCTGACGGACTTTCATAAGCGGCATCAATATTATCTGGAGCCTCAGGCCAGAAGCTCTTGATCAGATGTTGCTCAGACTCAGAACTTTTACGCCAGAAGAGGCTGAAAAACAGAATTCAGTATCAGGTGGTGGTCAGATCTAAATCAATTTAGGAGATGAATGTCACAAACATGTTTTTTCTGTCAGTGCGTACCCTTTCTTGAAGAAGATCATCTCTCCTCGCAGCATCGTAACTGCATCCAGGACCAGGTTAGGGTCGCAGGCATTAGGGGTGACTGGAGGAGTGGGGACAGGCCTCTCAGGGTCGACAGGTTTATCAGGGTTTGGACCTGTTTTAATTAAGGTTCCTTGTTAATTCATTTTTGTGAATGTTTAATTTTCATTCAAAGTTTTCAACTGGTTACTACTTATTTAGAAATTTCAGAAGCTTACCATAGACAGCCTGAATTCCATTGACATCGTCTTGGGGCAGAAGAAAGTTCTCAACATCTCTGAAGCTGTACATCGGATGCATCAGAGCACCAGGATCCCTGGAATGGTCAAGGCCCAAGGAGTGTCCGAATTCATGGGCAGCCACCAGGAACAGGTTGTATCCTGCAGAAGACCAATAGATGGCATACATGTTTTTGTCTTGTATATTGTATTGTGAATGTTTTAGGTTTCATCAAATATTGCCATTCTCACCTTTAGGAGAAGAGAAGGTAAAGGTCTCATCATCATCAAAATGGGCGTCTCCACCAATGGCAGGACTAGGGACAAAGGCGTGAGCCAAGAAACCACCTTCTCCTTCAAATGGGGAGCCATCGCCATGATCTGGAATAAGAAAACATTTTATTCATGTTTGGGAACCTGGAGACATGCATTTGTTGTATTTATAGAAAACTGACCTTTTGTGCGTTAGCTTTGAAAGTGTTTCTGCATCTATTCTTGAATTGTGAAATATCATAGGTGGGCTTTCACATTATCCAGTCTACCTCGTCAACAAGCACCTTTTTGACAGAGTCTGATGCAGTGAACCAATAGTCTTGCCAGTAACAGGTACCAATATCAAGACCAAGGCCCAATCCCATTTCACCCCTTGCCCCTACTACTTAGCCTGTGTTCCTCCGTTTTATGTGTTAGAAGAAGTGGGGTGTCCTGATTTTTGTTGAGATAGAGAAGTAGGGCGAAGTTTTTGGGCTGCTTGGCCCTCCAAACAGAAGTTTTTCAAAGGCACACTTTCTCTGTTAAAAATGACGATAACCACTGTATTATCTTAGTTTAATGTCGTTTCAATGTATTATAGTTCTTTTCTTCATAACACACGCACACACACACACGCACACATACACATCTTCTAAGCCGCTTATCCTTCTGGGTCGCAGGGGGAGCTGGAGCCTATCCCAGCAGTCATTGGGTGGAAGGCAGGGTACACCCTGGACAGGTCGCCAGTCCATCGTAGGGCTTCTTCAAGCATAAAAAATCGCTAGTAGTATGCTGATGTTTTCGGTAGCTAGCTAGCTAAATTCCCTGTTCCACCTTAAATGAACCATTTAAGGTGAAATGTGAAAATTCAAACAAGAATCTAGTTCTTCTGTTCTTTAAAGCCATATGATTCCCTAAATCTCACTGAGATTTGCTGAACTGTATCCTCCTCTGCTGTCACTGCAGACTGGCAGGGTCGCCTACAGAGCAGCGCAAGTAGCTGTTAATGAAGTAAAGAGGGTTGTCCCATTTTTTAGGGGAAGATTTCAACCTCTACCTCTTGTAACTCAGTTCCAAGGGGTAAGGTGACGCTTGAAAACAGAAGTTATGAGTCAAAAAAGAAATGGGATTTGGTGGGATAAAATGAGAGACTGACCTCTGACAGCGAAGGAGATCATGATGTCGGCTACACCACTGTAAATGCGAATGAACCTGAGGGGAGTGACGTCAGCCCAGACTTTTAAAGCTCTCTCAATAGAACTGTCCACTTCAGCCTGAGACATGTCAGGAGTGTAGTTCTCAATCCTGTGGTGGAAAACAATATATCTTATTGAAACAGTTTACTTTTTGATAAACCGTATGTAGCTAGCAATTCCATTCAAATTGAAATGTATTTGATGAAGAGAAATCCAGATCCGAGGACCGAGGGCTACTGTGGCATGGATGAACCCTGCTAGCATAGATAGGCCATGGCTAAATCAGTGCTGATGCCGATTTACACAATAATCAGAGAGAGCATTTTCTTATCTAGAAACATTGAGAAGAAACCAGGAGCCGACCCTCATCTGAGCCTTCAACAACCTGCTAAGTACCTGTAGGTCAGCTGTTTTTTTGTCCATTTGTAGCTTCCAGTAGCATCATTATAGCCAGCCACATCTGAAACCCCACAGCGAGGCTTCTTCATCACCTCCAACGTTTCAGCATCAAGAGTTCCGGTCACTTCCAGCCCAAAAAACTCCTGCATCTCACTCAGCTTCTCACTCATCTCGCTGACTGAGTGGTCAGTGGACCGAGCGGACCGTGTGTGCTCCTCTTTCATGTTGTACAACTTCTTCAGGTAATTCTGGTAAAATTGACATGATGTGCCATCAAGAATTCGACTTAATTTGAAACATATTTTAAAGCTGCAGTAATTGCAGTTCTTACCTTTGCCAGTTCCTCCTCGTCCTCGCCAATAGATGGCGGTACTGGACCTGAGTGAGTCTTGATCACCAGGCCAATGAGAATGCAGAGCTGATAGAAAGTCTTCATCTTAGTTGTCTTTTGAGGAACTGGTGTTGTTTGAGTTTTGCTGCCTGCTTTTATATGGTAAAGGATAAAAGATTGAGCAACACTTTGAGTCATACAATTAAGAAAGATGAGGACAGCAACACCAGGTGACTGTTTCCATCAGTCCCATATTAAGACCTGTCTGAACCCCTGTAAAATTCTCGTGAACAGGACCCACCCAAATGGCCACCTGTGCACACTATTGTATGTTTTGTGCCGCTGCCTGATCTGTACAAGGAATTTCATGACGGTGTATTAGTGTGGGAAAGCAAAGGCTTTTTGTCTGATTTACGGTAGTATTTGCCTATTGTACACATCCAGATCACTACATAGCAATGCCATATACAGGGTAACCACGTTTCCACTAATACTACTAAGAGGGCTGGTGGGGGGTGGAAAGTCTGACACGTATTATTGCCAAGAGTCATTTAACATCATGTCTGTATCAATATAATTCTAATTTTTTTTTTACTTGGAAGCTGACAAGAAGGCACGGCAAGTGTATAATAGCCTACCTTTTCTCAGGCAATTAATTAAAATAGATTATTTAGCTAGTAAAGAAAGAAAGTTGTCGGCAGGAAAGCTTGGTAGGTTCCATAGTAAAACCTAATCACAGTTCAGTTTGCCCAGTGGTAAACCATCAGGGCCTTTTCTGAAGGCCCAGCATGTTTGAGGAAAAAAGCGATTAAAGTAATTTATTTTATATTTTTATATTAAGTGGTTCACTCTGATATCGCATTGCAATTGTTTGCATTTTCCTCTAAAACTGTTTTCAATTCCACTTTTTGCATTTGTGTCGAAGACGCAACTCCGTACTAAAGTAAAAAAAATGAACCAGTCAGAAATCATTCCACCGCTGTCTCCAGAGAAAACGCAAAATGGCCCTCCTCCTTGGACCTTTGGTGGATAGCATACCCTTGATGTTAACATGAAGTAATGCTATCATTATGGATTCATGACTTGATTAACCAATCAGATTCTGATTTGGAATCATGTGGGTGTGCTCCAAGCTCTCTAAAGTATTCTAGCTGGCCCTTGCACGTCAGCACTATGTGCCTGAGTGCATCATGAGCGTTTAGTGTGCTTGCTAGCTAGCTAACTAGTAGCTACATGGCAAGTAGTATCAAGGTATTTTTGTTGAAATGATAGAATCTCTCATATTAGCAACACATTGTTAACAGCACCCCTTTGAAGATGGACATTCAATGAAAAACTAGATACTGTTAGAAAAAAGGCGACTACATCCTCATCTTGAGCTTCTTACTCAGGCAGCGAAAAGATATGTTCATCATTTTTAAGTGATCAACTGGGAGCCTTCTAACTATTCCAGTTTCAACTGCTTCTGTGAAAAGGACGTTTTTTGCACTCAAACGTATTAAGACCTATACAAGTGACACAGCGGCACAGTCCCGATTATCTGCACTGGCTTTAATCACTATTGAAAAGCCACTTCTTTTGGAATGGAAAGTCAAGGAGCAGCATGATGATCGAGTCGTAGAACAGCTCTGGTGATTGAACTCATTCTGTTTTTATTGCTGGCACTGTGGCAGGACTGCTAGATACATAGTTATATACAGTTCTGAAAGACTGTTGAACTATTAATGATTTGTTGACACTTGTGCAAGGGCTTTGCTCTTTGTGTGTAACTAACAATGTAAATGATGCAGCATTTAGTCTTTGATTCGTTAATGTGTCAGTAGTTTAGGTTGTAGGTTGTGTATATTACACGTGACTAAGGTTACAATTGTATGCAAGTATCTTTATAGTACAGTGATTTTTATTTGTGCAGTGTACAGTGAAGGCCAAAACCCAATTAGTACAGTCCACCACTGAGTTTGTCTAACAAATGGGTAAAAATACGGTCATTTATGAAAGATGTGATATGCTCGTATGAATGTTAAACCATCACATGTTGTCAAACAGCCTAAAATGAAAACTCTCTTTGCTAACAAAAACATATTTGCTGCTAACATTGACTTTCTCTGTATTCATGGCTGCTGCTGACTTTAGATAGTGTTACAGTCACGTTGCGAATTCAAGCTGAGTGAGTTTACCGTATATCCAGGGGGAACGAATGTATTGTTGAACACCATGAAACTGCTCAAGTCCTTACGCAAAACAAAACAATAATTAAGAGCCCATTGCCAACCTGCCCCTGGTGTCTTGACACTGATAAAGAACTCTGGGACCGTTTGGCTGCATGTTCAGTTTGACTCTGTATCCTTTGACATCCCTTTCTTCATTAGAACTGGAGTGGAAAAAAATATGAATTGATAATGATTATTGATTTGATTTGATTATTATTATTATTTTTATTATTATTATTATTGATAATAATAATAATAATAATAATAATAATAATGTCTGTTGATAAACATTGACTGAGATTCACTAAAAAGAATGTATGCAGTATATTCTGTAGCTAAAATTTAAACTTGGACAAAAAAACCCTTTAACCCCTGCATTTTTCAACCAGCTCACCTTGCAGAACACCATCTGGTTATTGGCACCCACATAATTTGAGTTTGAGACCTTGCTCTAAGGAATCTTAATATATTTAGTACGGTACATTGACTCTTTTCTGTGGTTTCTGGTAAAGTGTCGGGGGCAGCTTTCTTAAGCAGCACAGCTGAACTGATTTCCACAATAGGAGTCTACCCTCGGCTGGTCTGAACTTGTCTGTTTTCTGCAGAAGGTGAGCCATATATACTGTAAGTCTTCTAAGGACAGTATCACAGTAGCACAGTATTTATAAACTGATATTAGAATGTGATGGATGGTCTGTACCTTGGCTGTTTTTCCACAACACTTTTAAAAATCTTAAATAATGCTAATAATGCTATACAGACAGCAATGTTAAAGTTATGGTAACCCTTTCTTTTACAGTCCCGTAAGTTCTAGGTATTAACCAGGAAAGTGTGAGGTACAAACTCCAAAGTAATAAGTAAAGATTTTAGGTGATAAGATGGAAGGTAAAAGGATAGTCTAAATTCATTATTATGAAACGTCTTACAGATTCTAGATCAGGCCCGTGGGCCTTGTGTTTGACACATGGGTACTAGATTGTCATATTAGAGGGAATGTATCTGTGTGTTCTAATGTAATTACCTGGAACTTCAAAAGAATAAACAGGATGTGAGTCAGAGCTAAGCTCACTCGAATCTGTAGAGTCTTAAATACTATGTGTCTGTGTATTACCTAGATATAAAACTGAATCTGAACTGTAAAAGAAAGCAGGGACTCTTTCTATGGTTTTACTGAGTTCTGTAAGAACTGTGTTCCATTTGTTCAGTAGCTTTCAGTTTTCTAATTTAAATAGAATGTACATATAAATACATACATATATTGTGTGCATGTTTGTAAGTATCCCTGTGATGATGTAAAGTACTCCTTTACACATCACAATATAATGACTGATTGTAAACACTTACCTGTACTTACTTGAAGACTGATTATCCTTGCTTTGAGGAGCAAAGAGAACTGAACGGGTTCACCTGTGATTTACTTACCTGGGTGAGTCCATCCTCTGTAGAAGAGGAAGGAAGGACAAAACCTGTAAGAAAAGGAAATTGTTTAATAAGTGTACAATGTATTGTGAATATGCGTTAATGACGTCATAAATGTAACTGTGAAGAATAAGTGAAGAACACAAATTATTTACTGTTGAATGTAAATATATTTAAATATCTGAAGCACTTGTTTTTAACCCAGGCCAATAATGGTATATTCTAGGGGAGGAACACCCCAAATATAAGCAGCATTACTGGGGGGGTACGGAGAGAAATCCTTTCTTTCAGCTTGGTGGAAGATTGGAGGTGATGCGAGTGGAAGACCTATATGACTTTGCAGTCATTGGTCTGTTTCTTAGTTGTAGAGACTATTTTCGAGTGTTGGTGTGTAAATAAAGGTGACGGGGAGAAGAACTCTTGGACCAGCTGTATTTATTCCAGTTACTTGGACCACTTGCCTGACGCTACCCATAAGGTGTGTCCCCTGCCACAGCATACTGCTGGGTCGAGGGACGCACTTTATCACAATCCCCTTTTGCTCTTCAATAGTTTTCCAGTTTTCAGGTATTTTATCATGCTTCTTTTAAACTTAATACATAGAGCCTGATGGGCATTTCAGTGTAATTAAATTAGATTGTAATGGTGCTTACCATCATGTTACCCAATTTCTACCTCACACTTACCTGGGTAATACCTAGAACCTGTGAGACATTTCATAGTAATTCATTTAGACTATCCTGTTACTTACCATCTTGTTACTTAAAATAATTACCCAGTACTTTGGAATTTATACCTTACACTTACCTGGGTAATACCTAGAACCTGTGAGACATTTCAGTATAATTAATTTAGACTATCCTGGTACTTACCATCTTGTCACCTAAAATACCCCACACTTACCTGGTTAATACCTAGAACTTAGGGGACTATAAAAGAAAGGGTTACCAAGTTATTTAGACAGAGAGATCATTTATTTGGTGCACAATAATAACATTAATTTTCCAAGACAAGGCTTTTATTTTCCATTTAATACTTTTCTTATAGATACCCTACCCTATTTCAAGGCACAAGCTCAACGTCTGAACAGCCTCTTTGACTCACTGGTTCTATTTCTACTAGCTATCGCTATTGCTATCATAGCGCTCACTGTCTTTCAAACCACAAATCTTCAGTGATGCTCAAATCGAATTGTGTAGTTTTTTTTGACACACCTCGGAGCTTCAGTATCAAGGGTAACATCACTATTGAAAATATCTTGTCTGGTAAACTGACCTCAATTCTTGGACTGTTGTTTGGACACTGCACATGATTCCGTCACAGCTGTCTGAGCCTCAGCTGTTACACACTGTTGGCTCTCTGCAAGTGAAATGTAGTGACTCTGCGCTGAGCTGCTAGTGAGCAATGAGGAGTGAAAGGAGAGGTGTTACAAGGCACTATCACTCATGGAATGACAGCACCGGTAAGGTAGTTGGATGACCCAGTGTATCAGAGGCTCCATGCACAGATAACAACTTCATTGATAAATGCTCTCATCAGTTCTAGACAGTTATTTTAGTCACAAGGAACACTAGCTATCCAAGGACTTTAGGTCAGAACTTAACAGGGCAACAGCTCTGCCTCCTCCCTCTCTGTTTGTGACCCTCCTAGTACCATGAATCCCCCCTCCCTGAAGCTGGTAGCCCCTCCCACACATCAGGAAGATACCATATCGAGGCGAAAAAGGGGTAAGACAGATTCATAATAATAATACATATATATATACATATATATATATGTATATATATATATATATATATATATATATATATATTACTGCTGTGGGAACAAAACCTCGTATCTCCAGTTTTGTCTTTTTTCAGTTTTTGACATATTATGAAAATACCCGTGGTCCTATATATTGTGTGTAAATTCCATGATGAATGGGCCAACAGAAATGACCTAAACTTACTTGGAACAAAGTTTGGGTCCACTGAATTACATTAAAAGTACTATGTTTTTACCTTCTCCTGTAAAGTTAGCGTTTTGGAGTCACAAGTTTTGGTTCGACAACAGCGGTATATATATATCAATAACATGCTTCGAACCAAATTTCTCTCTTTTACAGGTTCTCCCCTTCTTATGGGCCATGGTGGATCCTCCCAGGACCTCAGGAAACTGGGTTCACCTGGACTCACTACAGGCAAGTATACATTCAAACAATGTAATAATCAATTGTGATATATACATATTCTTACAGGTTTGTAACTATTTACGTTGAGGTCAGGTGTATCAAAAGCACTTGGTGATGTGTCCGGTCTAACTAACATCATCACAGGAGGGGTGGGCTTCTACAATAAAAAATAGCATTTAAACACAATAAAAGCACTTTTATAAATGTTGACTTGCTTTCTCACCTACAAAGAAAGCTTCTGGTTTTGTAAATTTTGCACATTTGCATCAAAAAAAACAGCATTATGTCAATGTTTTAAAGGAAAAAATGCATAATTCAACTGTTGGCGCTCCAAAACTGGTGGAAATAGTCTTTTATGGCTATTGTGAAAGTGGGTTAAGATAATAATGCAACATGCTCAGTTATGTCCTTTGTTTTCGTGTGCTCTACTTTGGCTTACTTAGTGTGTTTAGTTTCCAGTGACATTTGGAAATTGTCATAAAACAGTAATCTCACAGTACTTTTTAATCGTCCATGAAAATTTTATTAAAATTATAAAATTAGAACAGAGAGTTGTAACTATTCAAAGGACAAGAAAAAAACAAGGGGCATAAAATGTGTAAAGGAACACTGAAAACAATAAAGCAATAATTCAATTATTAAAAAATGATTTAAAGCTTTTAAATTACTGTATAATTTACTCTACAATTTAATATTATTTTAACACTCTACTGCACCACTGCCTGCGTGGTACATAACCTTGAATGATTAGCATGGTAATAAGTAGTTGTTCTCAGTCACTTGTAGAAGTCTTCCATAGCCGAACTCAAACACGTGTGGTCCACTGAAGAGGTAGGTGAAACCTGAAAAATGTGGAGCACAAGATGTCAGAATTTGCAAACAACATAGCTTATTTTAGTCCAGTTTGACAAGTCAGATTATTCAAGAGTTTTGTTTAATACTGACCCCTGTACTGAAAAGCTGCAGTAATTTTCCCGGTCATTCCCGGGAAGCGGTCTTCCACCCGTTTAGGGTAACCTTTGTCCATCTTCTTCTTGATCTCATCATAGCTGTAAAATGTTTTGATTGATTAGTAAGAGTTTATCAAAAAGCTCTTGTATTTTCTTCACATAACATTCTTATGTTACCTACCTGTAGTAATACTTGTTAACAAAGAACAGCGTCTTTCCGGTCTCCTTGTCATAAAGGGCGGCGCTGATCTTCTTCACTTTAGGGGGCAGGCCCATGCTGCTGAGGGTCTTAGGAAACCCCTTTACAATATCATAACCATGCATAGCCCAGACCTTCTGACCTGAGGATCAAGACCAGGCATCCACATTAATTCTTAGCTTATATGACTACATGTCACTTATATACAACAGCTGATTTAATAGTACATCAAACCACTGGCTACTGATGCTTCAGTCAAAGCTTTTAAAGCTACTTTTTGGCAGAAAAAATTGCCAATATTCAAAATGTGTAATGTAAAGCATGTTTAGGACATTGATTTGCGTTTTTATATCACATATCTGTTGAATAAAAGCACTAGAATGCTCAAGGCTGTGTGTCACCTGACATATACTGCCAGCAAATTGCAGCCGTGGTGTCACTCTCCATAACACACACTCTCTTATGTTCTATTGTTTAGTTGAAGCTGTGTTACCTTTAAAGAGGTACACCAAGTAATCCGATGGGCTCTCATAAGCAGCGTCAATATTATCCGGAGCCTCAGGCCATAAGCTCTTGATCAGACGTTGCTCAGGCTCAGAACTCTGAGGGTGATTACGCCAGAAAAAGCTGAAAAATAAAATTCAGTATCAGATGGTCAGACTAACTCATTTCAGGAGATTCATTTATTGTCAGAAACTTATCTCAGTGCGTACCCTTTCTTGAAGAACATCATCTCTCCACGGAACATCGTAACTGCATCCAGGACCAGCTTAGGGTCGCAGGCATTAGGGGTGACTGGAGGTGTGGGGACAGGCTTCTCAGGGTCGACAGGTTTATCAGGGTTTGGACCTGTTTTAATTAAGTTATTAATTATTGGACAGTTGCATTCATTTTCATTTGAAGTTGTCAACGTTTTAAACACAATTGGTTACTACTTAATTAGCAATTTCAGAAACTTACCATAGATAGCCTGAATTCTACTGACGTCGTCTTGGGGCAGAAGAAATTTCTTAACATCTCTGAAGCTGTACATTGAAAACATCAGAGCACCAGGATCACTGGAATGATCAAGGCCCAAGGAGTGTCCGAATTCATGGGCAGCCACCAGGAACAGGTTGTAGCCTGCAGAAGACCAATAGATGGCATACATGCTTTTGTATTGTATATTGTATTGTGAATGTTTTAGGTTTGATCAAATGTGACCGTTCTCACCTTTAGAAGAAGAGAAGGTAAAGGTCTCATCATCATCAAAATGGGCGTCTCCACCAATGCCAGGAGCCGGGGGAAAGGCATGAGCCAATAAACCATTCGGTCCATCGAATGGGGACCCATCGCCATGATCTGGAAACAAAAAACATCTGATTATTTTTGCAAACCTGAAAATGAGTGTTTAGTGTATTAAGAGAAAAATGATGTTTTGTGCTGAATTTTCTTATGAAGCCCCACTAGTGATGTTTATTTTTTACAAAAAATAATGTGTGGCCACAATGTACTAAGGCATGTGAATGAGATAATTAAGTCGTGGCTACCATGTAGTAAGTCATGAGAACGAGATAAGTCATAATTCAGATTTAACAAGATAATTGAGCCATAGCCAAAGGTCAGTAAGACATGGAGATGAGATAATTAAGTCATAGCCCTGACATAGTAAGGCATGTAAATGAGATAATCAAGTCATAGCCGTGACTTACTAAGGCAGAGGAACAACATAATTGAGTTGTGGCAATTAAGTCATGGCTGTGACTTTGTAAGGCATTGGGATGAGATAAATAGTCATAGCAATGACTTGGTAAGGCACGGGAATGATATAATTAAGATGAGGTAATGGCCGTTCTCAGGCCTAAATAAATTGCCACTCATCATTTTTATGAAGAAGGAGTGTCAACAGCTTGACTCAATAACATCTACATCTTGCCTTGAATTGTGGAAGGCAAAGCTGGAGGGATCATGCCAAAGTGAGGACGAAGTAACTGTCTGTCACGACGCTCTACTAAACACTAGACTGAAATCCCACTTCTGAGAAGAATGTAAGCTTATCAGCCACTAATTTCATATTTTGCATTTTAGCGTCTAGTTTTTATTATTTCTACCCTGTCAACAAGAACCTGTTCAACAGAGCTGTCCACTGTCCTGCAGTAAGCTACTGGAAAGAGTAACCTTGTCAGGAATGGGTTCTATCTAAACGGTATGGAGTATCAATATTAATGGCAACTCTTCAGTGGTGATTACTAGATGAAGCGGGAGACTGACCTCCGACAACGAAGGAGATCATGATGTCGGCTCCATCACTGTAAATGCGGGTGAACCTGAGGGGAGTGACGTCAGCCCAGACTTGGAAAGCTCTCTCAATGGAACTGTCCACTTCAGCCTGAGACATGTCAGGAGTGTAGTTCTCAATACTGTTGAGAAAACACCACAAATCTTATCTTAACTGACCACTCTTTGCTTCTGTGGTCTAAAATATGCAGCTACCAATTTAAAATTGTATTTGATTTGTGCAGCAGAAGTCAGAAATCTGGGTCCAAGAAACACTTTAGCCTACTTGACAAAATTATTCTTAAGTAAGTGAGGATAGGCTAGAGCAGGGGTGTCAAACTGTGGTCCTTCCAGGCCACAGCTCTGCAGAGTTTAGCGTTCTTGTTTAATCTATTAATGAACATGCTGATCTTTGCCCAGAAGGAACCCAGTTTGACAGCCCTAGGCTAAAGAGTTTAAAGATACACTTGAATTAAGAAGCAGAGTGCAATAGGATTATTGCATAATACACACTGAGAGGAACCTCTGGGCACTTTCCAAGGGCTAACATACCTGTAGGTCAGCTCGTTTTTAGTCCATCTGTAGCTTCCAGAAGCAGAAGCATACGCACCCACGTCTGGAACCCCACAGCGAGGCTTCTTCATCACCTCCAGCGTTTTAGTGTCCAGAGTTCCGGTCACTTTCAGCCCGAAAAACTTTTGCATCTCCCTCAGCTTCTCACTCATCTCACTGACTGAGTGGTCAGTGGACCGAGCGGACCGTGTGTGCTCCTCTTTCATGTTATACAGCTTCTTCAGGTAATTCTGGTGAAATTGACATGATCTGCAGTTAGACATCTGACTGAATCAAAGCCAGTGCATTTCTAAGCTGCAGTAATTACAGTTCTTACCTTTGCCAGGTCCTCCTCCTCCTTGCCAATAGATGGTGGTACTGGACCTGAGTGAGTCTTGATCACCAGGCCAATGAGAATGCAGAGCTGATAGAAAGCCTTCATGTTGCTGCTCTTTCAAGAAACTGATGCTGTTTGGAGTTCAGTGCCTGCTTTTATACGATCAACGACAACAGACTGAGCAACACTTTGAGTCATACAGTAATGAAAAATGAGGAAGGAAGTTAGAGATGACTGGCGTAAATTCCTTTTAATAGCCTACGAAAATTGTTTGAACTTTGGCAAAGTTTTTTTTTTTTTTTCTTACAATATTTACATAGCAATGAGGATCCACTGTATGTTTGAACATTATTTGATATATATATATATTATTTAAAAATAGTATCAAGTGTTTTATGCAAAAATGATCAAATTTTATAGGCTAGGAATGACTAAACAAATCATTTATTTTTTTACATCATGCCTACGACTCCCACAACGGGTATATTTTACTAAGTCTACAATTATTTTATATGAAATTTTATATTAATATTTATATTTATATAACCCCAATTCCAAAAAAGTTGGGACGCTGTATAAAATGTAAATAAATGTAAATAAAAATGGAATACAATTATTTGCAAATCTCATAGACCTATATTTTATTCACAATAGAACATAGAACACATATCAGATGTTGAAAGTGAGACATTTTACCATTTCATGAAAATCATTAACTCAATTAGAACTTGATGGCAGCAACACAGGGCCGTGTATACCACTGTCTAGCATCCCCTCCTCTTTTAACAACAGTCTGTAAACATCTGGGAAGTGAGGAGACCAATTTGGGAGAGGAATGTTGTCCCATTCCTGTCTGATGTAGGATTCTAGCTGCTCAACAGAAGAAATTCCTGTACACAAGAGTCAAGAAAAAGAAAGGTCTGGACTGCAGGCAGGCCAGTTCAGCACCCAGACTCTTCTTCTGCAAAGCCATGCTGTTGTGATGGATGCAACGTGTGGTTTAGCAAATATGCAAGACCTTCCCTGAAAGAGACGTTGTCTTGATGGGAGCATATGTTGTTCTGGAACCTCTACGTACTGTTCAGCATTGATAGTGCCTTTCCAGATGTGTAAGCTGCCCACACCATAGGCACAAATGCAACCCCATACCATCAGAGATGCAAACTTTTGAACTGTGCACTGATAACATACTGGATGGTCCCTCTCCTCCTGGGTCCGCAGGACACTGCATCCATTGTTTCCAAAAGGAATTTGAATTCTTGATTCAGTTTTCCTTCTTGCCTCAGTCCATGAGCTTTGGCCCAGAGAAGACAGTGGCGTTTCTGGGCCGTGTTGTCATATGACTTCTTCTTTGCATGATACAGCTTTAACTTCCATTTCTGGATTGCACAGCCAACTGTGTTCACAGACAATGATTTCTGGAAGTGTTTCTGAGCCCATGCAGTGATTTCCAGTACAGAATCTGTTTTCAATGCAGTGCCCCTGAGGGCTGGAAGATCACAAGCATCCAATATTGACCATCGGCCTTGTCCCTTGCGTACAGGGATTTCTCCAGATTCTCTGAATCTTTTGATGATATTATGTATTGCAGATGCTGTGATATCCAAATCTGCACAATTTTATGTTGAGGAACATTTTTCTGAGATTGTTCCACAAGTTGTAGGTGCAGTTTTTCACAGATTGGTGAACTTCTGCCCATCTTTGCTTCTGAGATACTCTGTGTCTCTAAAATGTTCTTTTTATAACCAGTCATGTGAGTTAGTTGCAAATTGCTCCTCCAGCTGTTTTTCATTAGTACCACTTACTTTTCCAGCTTTTGTAGCCCCTGGACCAACTTTTTGGAGATGCATTGCCGCCATCAAGTTCTAAATGAGTTAATATTTTTCATGAAATGGTAAAATGTCTCACTTTCCACATGTGATATGTGATCTATGACACACTTCTATAACTTAAGAATAGCTTAGCCAGTTTGCATTGAAGTCCCTGTAGTTATGGAATAATAGGCCTTAGTATGTAACAAGTCTGGGATTTTAAGATGTTAATATACTTAGTACCAGTTGCAGAAGTGGAAAAATGATATATTTGGTTGTGAAGGATCAGTTTGAACATTGTTACTATGGATGATATTTCTCATAGTAGTGAGGCTATTTTGGCTGGGGAAATCCAGCTGGCATGGTGTACTTTAAAATCAGCTTTCTTCATCATCTGTTAATGTGTAATGATGTAACTCATACAGGTCAGTTGGCTGCTTACTGTGTTTCTTGTCTTTAATAGGAAGTATTGCACATTCTGTCTGATGAGGTGTTACTTGTGGCTTTTCCTAAGAAGTTATTGATCTCATTTCTACGCTGACAAAAATAGCCCAACTCAGCAGCTTTGATTCTCAGAGTTGACCATATATGCTGTGTTTCCTCACGGCAAAGAGGTGATTAACAACTCCTCATACAGCACGTCTTCAGTTGCATAATGAAATGCACATAACAATGTCAAATTCAAAACTTTTAAAAAGAGGTTCAAAAATTTAAAAAAGAGGTTCAAAATTTTTCTTGCTTGTTAAAATTTCTTTTGGGAATGTAAAATTTTGAAGATTGATCAGGCAAATCTCTTTTTTATCTCCTTTACAGATATTGTAAAACCCAAGTAAAACATCCTTACAAAATAAAGAAAAATCATTCTAAATATATTGATATGGTGAATTAAAGGATTTCCAAAAGCTGACAGTATGAAGACAAAAAATACTCCAAAATAAATAGGTTGCAGTTTTGTCTTCAGCATTTAATATTAATATCAGTATCACAATTAATAATAGCATCTTTTTTAAATTTGTGCAACAAAAAATGTTTCAATTCTGTGCAATAATTTATAATTCACGTCTCTAATTTTATTTGTGATAAATTATCTAAAGGGAATGTTCCAAACTTTTTTCCATTGAATTTCTGCCACAAAATCATACCAGTAAGATATTAAATATGGAATAACTATGTTTTTGAAACAGGGACATGATTTTTTATTGTGATTTGAAGGGTTAAAAAAAGCCCATTTCAATAGCATAACCATGCCTTGAGGTACAGCATTCATAAATATAGAGAATTCTTTTGGAGTGACTGAGATTTTGTAAGGAGATGAATAATTTGCAATAATTGATAATTGAAGTAAATAATTGAGTAAACAATAAAATATTATTTTAATAACCAATTATCAATGTAGACTGAATTACTGTTGTAAAAGATATCACGGTTTTTCCAAATAAAATATTTATGGGGGAAAAATTTATGTTTAAAAAATTAGAGAATTTGTTTGTGATTGTTTGCATGGTAATTTATCAGTACTGTAGTTGCACACTAATAAAGGTCAAACTGCCTATTCAGTTATTTGGGCACATTTTCAGTTTGGATCTTGATGTTGACACTAAACCTCTGTGAAAACCCTAATCATGTACTTCTTCACTGTTCAAGCTGTGCTGATGGTGTGGACAGCAGACATGGTGTGGACATATCCTGTCTTTGCTCATTGCCTGGTGTTGCATGTACCACAATGATGAGGTAACTGGCTTGATAAGTGTCCAGTGACAAATGGTTGATCATATTTACTAAGAAAGCTGAATATTCAGGTTACGTACAGTAGTTTTACAATGGTTCCCTCATCTATTATGTCACGTAAGATTTTGTCAGCATCATGACTTTATTTGCATCTTCTACAGCCATGTAGGTCATATTTTCCCTCCTCCACATTGGAGCCATGAGTTTGCAGGCATTTTCTTATTTTTATGATATGTTTGGGTTGAGGTTTGTGTTGAATTCCAGATGCAGATTTCCCAGAAGAAGCAGACGAGTCTTACATACCAAAATTAACTGAAATGTCTCTGTGAGAGGCCCTTGTGTAATTTGCAGGTCCATCCACAACATGTATAGTGAGCGTATAGGGTCGGTGGGCTCTGAAGCTACTGAAGCATCTATGAGGGGAACTTCTGTCCACTCATCAGTTATCATTTTAGGATACCCATCTATCAGTTGCCTCTGCTCTTCATCATACCTGAACCAGTGGTGTGGACAGACTTTGGCAGGTATTCAGGGCATTTAGTGGGAGCACTTCTGAAAGAATTGATGTTAAAATTTGTTCAGTACATAAAAATACCTTTAAAGCCAAAGTTACTAATGAGGCTCATTGTCTAGAGGCTCTGCTGATAACTACAGACAGAAACTGTACTGAATACAGCACAAAGACCAGGGGTGCACAACTCCAGTGCTGGAGGGCTGGTGTCCAGCACAGTTTGATGTTTTACCTACTCACACACACACCTGATTATATATATAAAGAATGTTTCAAAATGTTCAAAGCGATATCTGATATGTAAATGTTGCGAGAGCTGCTGGTGAAACTGTCTGGCTTGATGGCTCTTTTCTTGACTCCTCTCCCGAATACAACAGGTTACTGTACATGACTGCCAAGATGACAAGCACTTCATCACGAACATGGCTTGTGTGATAATAGCAGTTAGTTGGCCAGGAATGCTTTGAACTTTAAATGCCATAAAGCTTTGTCAGTTTTCAATAAACAAAACTCTCAAAGCACGCTGTCTTAAAATTAATATCAAACTACATTGCCTTTGCAGTGTAAACATTTCATTATGACATCTCTTTATTTCTATGTATAACATAAAAGCAACATACCTTACAGTCTTAAATCTTCCTGTCTTAGATTTAAGCATGTATTACTGAGAATTTGAATCCAGACAGATCTCCTGGCACTGTAGTATGACAAACTGAAAGTGTCAGTCAAAAATGATGCAGGCTTGAGAAACGGGAGCACTGTGCGATCAGGCTCATGCTTTTATAGCCCTGTAAGACATTTTAGTACGTAACTAAACTGTTTTACAACTGCTAAAGTTTTACAAAGATTTTGCACAGCAGCATTTTAAGCACTTTAAGGCCTTGTTCAGACTGCCAGCCCAAGTTCAATTTTTGCATATGCAGATGTTATCCAGATATTTTGACACTCTAGACAGCAAAAAAAACACATAAAATCAGATTTTTTGCAAATCAGATCCAAACCACATTTGGAGGTGGTTTGAAATGCAATTCCAATCAGATTTTTACAGATGCATCTCA